GGTCAGCGCCGAGGCGGCGGTGGCGGCAGCAGCGACGGCGGGAGGCGCGGCGACCAACCCATTTGCCCGGGCCGGCGACATCGACGTGGACCCGCTGGCGCTGCGGATCGGCAGCGCCTTTAACCTGGGCCCCTCGCCGCCGTCGTCGAACATGGCGCCACCAACGCGCCCGACGATCAACACGGGTGCGCCTCAGCCGCACCCGCCGCCGCTGCCGCCGCATCCCCGGACCCGCGGACAGGCCGAGTCGACGGACAGGCCACGGCAGCGGCATGGCGGTCACGACAACGGCGGCGACGACCGCGGCGACGACGACGACGATGACGATGGCGACTCGATCCTGACGCCCATTGTGCCGTCGGAAAAGGCGCTGGGCAAGCGGCGCCAGGTGAGCGTGCGTCTGTCGGAATAAAGGGGGGCGTGGCGGAGGTGCAAGGAGGCGTGGGCCAACGACAGCCGGGGGGGAGGGGCAAGGAGCGGTGGTCCTCCAGGTGGTAGTGGTAGAGTGACGAGAGAATAGACAAGAGCTCTTTTCCTGTTTAGATGGGCAGGCTGCTCGAGATGGACACGCGGAGCTTGAGACGTTGATCGAATGACACTTTGACGGCGTCGAGGCGAGAGAAAAAGGGGAAGAGAGAAAGGAGAGGCAGAGAGGCATCGACCGTACCATTGCCGCGAGCATGGCGAGTCGACGAGCGGGCGCGTCTCAAGGAACAAACGCAGGTGTCGTGTGGGATGCTGCAAAGACGGGTCGCGGTGGGTGGGGCTCGCTTCCCCCCTTTTTCGCCTTTGCGCCCTGGTCCTCGACTGCTTCGGACCTAGGCGACCGACGAACCACTGACAATCTACGCCCAGCTCGGTCTCGGTCAGACGATGAGCGAAGTCGAGAGTGCGAACATTGGCGCGTGCCATGCCACGACAATGGAAGCGCGGTTTGGGTTTTGACTAGAGTCGAGTGGCCGTCATGCTACGTTACACCACGGAGCAATGCGGGAAGCGGGGGGCCCCCCACGACCGTTGGATCCCCTCGTCGTTTCCCCTGCCCTGCTCCGGCATCCAAATCAGGGACCCGAGGCGACGGGCGGGATCTCGATTTCCGGGCTGGCCGGAGCGGGTGCCTCGACGAGGAGGTCGTAGTGGCCAGGACGGAGGAGCATGGTGCCAATCTCGAGCATCTGGCCGTCCTCGACGTCGAAGCGCACCACGTCGCACCGGTTCGGGTCCTCTGCGAGTCTCCTGCGCTGCGCCGCCTCGTCGCCCGGGATCTCTTTCCCCTGTTGCCCTTGCGTCGTCGCCGTCGTCGCTGATGGTGGTTGCTGCGACTGCGAGTGTGCCTGCGCCTGCTGCTGCTGCTGCTGCTGCAACGTCGAGTCGCCCTCGAGGGATTCCGAGAGGGGCGTGTCTGGTGGGGCCTGTGCGCGCGAGAGGTAGGCCACGTCGAGGCTCGTCTTTAGCGCGCGCGAGAGGGCCGTGATCTGGACGTGGTCGGCCTCCTTGCCAATCGCCTCGACCTGGTTGGCGCAGAAATCGGACATGGTGGGCGGTCCGCCGCTGGTGCTGCCCACGTCGCCGTCGAGGGCAAACAGGAACGGCGTGTACTCGTCGGCGTTGACCTGATAGGTCGGGGGGAGGGAGGCGGAGGGAGGAGCCCATGGGTCAGCGGCAGTCCCTCGGTGAGGAAGCGGGTCACACGTCATCCGCCCAGGTGCCCCTAGGGCCCGCCCGGCATACCCACCTTGAGAAAGGCGCTGGTGAGGAGGCGGAGGTAGACTACGATGCTGTTGCTCGTCTCTGGGTCGTTGATGGCCTCGAGGAGGGCGTGGTCGTTGAGCTCCTGGGTCTCTGGGTCGGTCGAGTGCATGCGCGCGAGGAGGCGGCGGAGGGGCTCGTAAAAGTCGAGGTAGATTTCCTCGTCAAAGCCGGCCTGCTTGAGGAGGGCGAGGGTGCCCTCGACGTGCTTGACGACAAAGTGGTGGAGGGGGCGGTCGTTCATGAGGAGGATCTTGTGGATAAAGGCAAAGGCAAAGGCGCGGTAGAAGCAGTCGCCGTCGCCCTTGGCCCGGCGAAGGCCTAGAGGGGGAGGGGCAAGAGGAGAGAGAAAAAGAGAGAGAGAGAGAGAGAGAGACAGGGAGAGGCAAGGAGAGAGAGAGAGAGAGCCGGAAAGTGGACGGGTCCGCGTGAGCGAGGGAACGGCCAGAGAGGGAGAGGCAAGGCGAGTCGACGGGTCAGCATGGAAAAGGGGTTGCGCGCGAGGGAGTGGCCGGAGCGACGGCGCCACGCACCAATGAAGCGGCCCTCGTCCCTGAGCCACTTGATCTTTCCAATGAAGCCGTCATTGTCGGCGTACTCTTCGAGGAGGACCTCGATGGGCTGCACCTCGGAGATGAGGGGCTGGTTGGCCGTCTGCTCGTCGCGGAGCTTCTGTGCGAGCTCGATGCGCTGCTGGTCGGTGAGCGACTCGAGTCTATCGGGGAGCGAGGGGAGCAAAGAGGGGCAGGGTCGAATGTCAGCCCGGTGCTTGTGCGGGCGCCGCGTCTCCCCCCCCGCCAGCGGTGCTCACTTTGTGTCTGCGTTGATGCCCTCCATGGTGGTAGCGGTCGACGAGGCGCAGCGTGCGGCGAGCGAGTGGTAAGAGGGGCGAGTGTGCGCTGGTGTACGGTGCGGGCGGTAGCGGTGGTGGATGCAGAGGGATGAGCGGGCGTGCGAGGAGCAAAGATGGTGGTGGTGGTGGTGGTGGTGGTGGTGGTGGTGGACCAGGGTGCCGCTGAGCCAGGGCCGCCAGCCAACGCCTTTGATTTTTTGGGTTGCCTGCCTGACGCGGCGGGCGCGGGCCACAGAGAGAGGCAGGGCTGCCAGGGGGGTCAGGCCAGCGCAGGCCGCTTGCTTGATGTCATCTGGGCGGGTGAGGGGTGGTCTGTGGGGCACCCTGCCTGAGCCTCAGCGTCGACAACCACAGACGTGATCGGACGCCTGCGCCCCTCCACCCGTCATTCCACCTTGTCAGATCGGGCAGCTCAGACGCACTCTCCCGATCCACCCCACTTCCAAAATTCCCTCGTCGTCGCCGCCGTCGCCGCCGTCGCGCCTGGCCGCCTCGACCCAACTGCAAACAACGTCCCGTCACCCCTCTCGACCACCACCACCACCGCCCACCCCCATCCTCCATCTTTGCCCTTCTCGCCCACACACCACCACAGCCAACACCGACACCGCCACCGCCACCGACACCGACACCGCCACCGCCACCATGGCTGACGCAGACGGTACGTCTCATCGCGTCGCTCTCGTCGCCCTCGCCACTCTCGCCACTGCCCGCTGCCACCACCCCTTGGGCCCACCGCGCATACATCTGTGCCCACCCTGACCGCCCTCCTCACCCTCCTTCTCCATCCTCGACTCTGGCTCCTCGTACCATCCTGCACTTACCTCCCCCTCGCAACAGCAGCAGCCAGCAACACCTGGAACGGCGACGCCGCACGCACCGCCGCACGCGACGACGAACCACAGTGGAACGGCGGTCGCAGCCCTTCCCCCAGGGGCGCAGCCACCCCTCCCCGCCGCGAGCGAGAACGCTCCAGGTCCCCCGCTCGCCGAAACGAAGACGACCGTCCCAGGTGAGTAGTCTGCCCTCGCTCGCCCTCTCCATCCCTCCCGCTCTCTCGCCGCGCATGACCTCGACCTCGACCTCGACCTAGACCACGCGCCACCTGACACCACCCTCCCCACCCCAACCCCCGCGCTGCCCACAGCAGGGCCGACCGCTCTGGCGAGACCAACCCTGGAAACAACCTCCACGTCTCGGGTCTCAGCACCAAAGTCACCGACCGCGACCTCGAAGAGGCCTTTGGCAAGTTTGGCGCCGTGAGTGACAGGCAGCTCGCCTTTCCCCCACGTGCGCACCTCAGCCGGCCTCAACTCACACATCGTCGCCCGTTCCCTCTTCCCGCTTCGGCACCGCCACGCCCGCCGCATCGCAGATCGAAAAGGCACAGGTAATGTACGACCCCCACACACGCGAGCCCCGCGGCTTCGCCTTTGTCACCTTTGTCAAGCCCGAAGAGGCCGAGGCCGCCATGGCCGCCCTCAACGGCACCGACTTCCAGGGCCGCCGCATGACTGTCGACAAGGCCCGTCGCGGCCGCGCCCGTACTCCCACCCCCGGCCGCTACTTTGGCCCGCCCAAGCGAGGTGAGTAGGCGCTCGTCGGCCATTGCTCGCCGTACCATCCTCCTCCTCTCTATCCCTTCGCTCACCCTCCGTCGCTCATTTCATCCCATCCTGCGTACGCCCCGGCAGGCGACGAACCCCGTGGTGGCGGCCCGGGATACGGACGCGGCCCTTACGACCGCGGCTACGGACCCCCGCCCCGTGGCGGCTACCCGCCGCCCTTCCCTCCGCGCGATCCCTACGACAGGTACGGCATGCCGCCTCCCATGGGCGGCCGCCCGCTCTCGCCTCCCTCGATGCGTGACCCCTACGACCGCTACGCGCGCGGCCCCCCGCCGCCTCGCGACTACCCTCCCCGCGACCGCGACTACCTCCCTCCTCCCCGCGGCATCCCCGGCGACTACCCTCCGCCGCGCGACTACCCCAGGGGCCCGCCGCCGGCCGACTACCCTCCGCCGCGTGGCGGCTACCGTGACCTCTCGCCCCCGCCTCGCGGACGCTACGACGATGTGCCCCCGCCTCCGCGTGGCGGCGTGCCCCCGCGCGGCTACGGCGACCTCCCCCCGCCTCCCCGCGGCGGTCCCGGTCGCTACGACGACCTGCCCCCGCGCAGGTACTGAGCTCGCGTACCGAAGATCCGACTTTGGCCGTGCCGCGCCCCGCCGAACAGCGAAGCAGGCGGCATCAGCAGCAGCAACAGCAACATGACCAGGCCGGCGCCATCGACGCAAAGAAACCGGCAGCGCTAGCCAGCCTCGATCGTCGACCCTTCCGCCGCCGCCGCCGCTGCCGCCGAACTCGTCCGCCGTCAACATCGCAGTCCAGCGTCGGCGGTCCGTCGCATCAACCGCCTCGCCCACGACATCAACACAGCAGCAGCGTTCGAAATGATAAAAAGCACCACGTCTTCGACCCCAGCCCGCCCTGTCCAGTAGTCTTTGTAACACCTCCACCTTCGCCCCGCCCTCCGCGCCTCTCTCCGTTGTCCGTCCGTCCGTCCGTCCGTCCGTCCGTCCGTCGATCCGCCCTTTCGCCTCGTGGTTGTCTCGTCTGTCTACGACTCCTCCCATCTCGACTCCGACCGACCGAGTAAAGATTCACTCCGCCCTCGCCCGCTCGTCCGGCCGCCTGCACGTCCCGTCTGCCATCTCAGCGCCTGATTCGATCCGATCCGCTCCCGGCCTGTTACGTCAGGTCTCCGTCTAATCGCCGTCTCGCTTTCACCTTCGACCTGCTCTTCTGACACGGCACTGCCGACTCGACCTAGCTGCTCCGGCTCTATGCCTCCGGCTCCGGCCCCTAGGTGGCCGGCCGTCTCGGTCCCGCGCTCGACCTCGATCAGCCGATCCTCTAACCCGACCGCTCGAGCGTCCACCCGTCTCTCGCCCGCGCACTCGATCCTGGTGTGCTGCATGCCATCTATTGCGTCTGCTCGCTGACGATTCTTTTGCCCCCCCCTGCCTCAGCGTTTCTTCCGCTCATTCGATGCGCGGCGATATCGGTATGCTCATAGCCTGCCGCCGCTCCTCGACAGATACCACACCGTCTCACCGCGCTTCCTCGTTCCGCCGCCGCCTTGGCTCGATAGTCGACTCGACTCGACTCGACTCGACTCGACTCGACCAGGTCCGACCGGACTCACACTCGACGCGACTCGACCCACGCGTTGACGCTAGAAGCCACCGCGAACCGCTGGGACCTCATCGCCGACGCTGTGTTCTCCCTTCCGTCGATACACTCTGCCACTGACCAGTCTTGCATTCAGCATCATTCGACGCTCGACGCTACTGCTATCCTACTCTGCCCGGCGCCAGACGGCACGTTTCTCGACCCACCCCGCCTCGCCTCACCCCGTCATCCGCCGCTGCTGCGATACATCGTTGTCCGCCACCCGTTTTCTCGCTATACCACCTTTGCCTCGCCGCGTCCCCGTCCATATCGATCGGGGTAGCCTTCCTATGGCTGTCATCACGTCTCTTGCGCTTGCCGCGCGTTCTTCCGTCCTATCGTCGTGCCGTGCCGATCCGTCCTGACACGCTTCCACCAGCCTCGCCTCGCCCCACCCTGCCCTGTTCTTGCCCATCGAAGCTTCGCTCTCGTCGTGCCCGCAAATCCTCACCGCCACCACTCTGTTTCCCCACTCTCATCTCGCCATTCCCTCTTCTATGCCCCTCTCGGGCTCTAGCACTCTCCTGGACCGCTTGTCAAACATGTCGCCTCTGCTTTGCATGCTGTTTAAATGCAATGGTGCAAACCATTGACACCCACCGCTTCTGTAAGAGTAGGGACTGACTGTGATAGGTGGGATACCATCAGCAGTGCAGGGATATGTTGCAAAAACACAAAACCTCCCTGTCTACTATTAGCAATGCAGACTCCTCCCAAAACTCAATTGACATGACCAATCAATCCAGATCTGCAACCATGCCCACCATCCCTCATCTTTCCCACCTTTTTTGTAGTCCAGCACACCTTGTTCAACTCCACAATAGTGTCTGCAACAAGCACAATGTCAAACTGCAGTTGCTTAAGAACAAACAGGGGTCAAAATTCAAAATGCAAAATTCATGGGTCAGCTTGTGAGATGGTGAGCTGCACAATGCAAGGGACCAAGGTTTGAAATGCAGGGGTCAGGGGCTTGAAGGTGCAGGGATGCAGGGGCCAGTGGCTTGAAATGCAGGGGTCAGGGAATTAGGAGACAGGGGTCAAAATTCAAAATGCAAAATTCATGGGTCAGCTTACAAGGTGTTCTGTGGGAAAAACATGGTAGGGCTGCATATTGAAAGTTGTTCAAAAATCATTTCTGAACAACTTTTGAATAGTAGCCCTACTCAGTTTAGACTGCCAATTTCCCGGTAGATGCTCCGCAAAAACGTCTGCTTTTGGGGTCGAACGCCAAAAAGTTGGGAATTTCGACTTGGTCCTTTATTGAAAGTTGTGTACTTTTATGAGTTTGGAAGGCTCCTAGAAGATGGGAAAGATCCATTCGTTGGTTGCGGAGAAAAAGTAGAATTTGCATTTTCAGCCTCAGAGCAAAGGGGGGGACCCTTACCAGGTCCGGATTTTGACCACCCCGGATCTTCTTGGTGCCTTATTGAAAGTTGTTTAGGACGCTCTGGAGAGCATGTGTGTGAAGTTTGGGGATGGTTTGTCAAGTAGGAAGTGGCTGAGGAGGTGCCCAAAAAGTCGACTTTTTGCCACCTGAGGGCTGTAACCATGCATCCCTGACTGTAGGGTTAGGGTTAGGGTTAGGGTTAGAAGGGGCTGCCCAAATAAAGTGAGTATGGCTGCCTAATGAAAGTTGTAGATATTGTTGAGGAGAACAAAAGCTTGGCTGAGCCATACGGCAAGTGTCTTGGCCGTTGCTGAGAAAAACAGCCGG